TGACTCCTTTGTAGCAACTAAGTAAAAAGTTCCTCTGAGTAACTCCTGGGTGAGGCCCAACAGACCACATGTGATGAAAAGCAAAATTGGCCAACCTGGACAGACTGTCTCTAGCCTAGGATCAGGATGACTGGGAAGCAGGACAAAGCATTTGGCAATGGCTGCTCACCCAGGGATTTCTTGCTGTTGGTGGAATGGCCGCTCCATCCTGTCATCTCAGGAGGTTTCACCTGGTGCTTTGCAATTGTGAATTGCAGAATCAGCGATGCAAGAGGTAGAATGGCCACCTTGACCCCTTTCTGTCCAGTGCCTTATGGAATCAAGCAATAAGTAATGTGGGATTGTCACTCTCATAAATGTCTAAGTGTTGCTAAAAGTAAAAAGCCAGGGCAGAAAGTATGCTATTAAAAAAAGAATCGAGGATTAGAAAGGGACAGCTTTTTTTTTTTTTGGCACATCAAAGTACAAGTGTCAGGTTTTATTCTGGGAGATTGAGGATTGCAAAAGGAATGGTCTGAGCTGTCTTCTGGGTTACTTCACCTCATCGCTCCTGTTTCACAGATATGATGTCATTATTAAATTTTAGAAATACCTACAAGGAACAGGTTAGAACAAAATAATTTTTTTCTAAACTAACCAGAATTGCAATGGCTTGGTCTGCTTCTCCACTGCTTTATAGAATCAGGGCTGTACTTTATCCTTTCTTGCTCATGGTTTCCTTAATGGTTTGTGAGCTTTGCCAGTTTTCCATGCCTGTCTACTTGGAAAAAAAAAAAAACTTTTTTTTTCCTATTATGCATCCTGGAACACCATTACTGGGCTTTGACAAATGTCCTCTGCAGGCACTATCTTCATCTCAGTAGGGAGTGCAGTTTTCTGTGCTTTATCATCTGGTTCTTTGTAAGTCTCAAAATGAAGAGAAAAATTGGATGATAGGTAAACACTAGTTCTGAAAGCCAGTTAATGGGAACAAAACAAAACAACAACAAAAAACATGACAAGTCATTTGGAAAAGAGTCTACAAATGCTTCTCCTCCATCCCTGTTTGCTTGATTCAGTGGCTCCATCTACCAAAGTAACCTGCTTGCTAGAATATTCATCTCTGACTAGTAATACCCAGCATTGAAGTGGCTGTAAGCCCAAAGTTCTATCAGAATGCTACCAGGATCTGATTTCCAGAAGGTCTGTCAATAGCATCTTCATTATGTTCTGGGGTCTTTCAACTTCCTTTTAACTTTTGAGGCATAGTGAAGGTTAGATTCATCAATAGTGTAAGTGAAGCTATCATCTTGGTTCAAATTTTGTTTAAAAAGGTAGAAATCATATCCATGGTATGCATAAATAATATTTAGTAGTTTACCATATTCATTTCCTAGGAATCTGGACACGTACACTTGTATTAGCATAGGACAATCATATAATTAAAGACAACTACTCTGTTTCTAAATGAGGTTTAGGTTTATGTTTAAAGTTGAGTGAATCCATGGGATCATTCAATGGTTTCCTTTTCTTCCTTTTTTATATTCTGAATGCTTTATAAATTTGGAAGCTATTCAGATGAACCTTTAGTGCTGCATTAAACTGTTGGTAAGTTATCGGTAGTAGTTCAGTGATGTGCTTGGCAGCAAAGCAGCGATATTCTGACATGCTAAAAATAATTTTTATTTAGCGTTTTCAAAACCATTTTCTTAAGATACTGATAAAAACAAAACTGTAAAACAAACTTTGTTTTGAATCTTATTTTATGTGTAAGAAAAACAAGGTTTTTGAAGGCTTTTGGCTTTTTAAAAATCACTCAGCCAAGAATGAAAAGTCAGGATGAAAGAAAACCAAAGAACCTGACAAGACTCAAATGCAAGAATAAGCAGGTACAAGTACAAACTATGCTAGCAGTGAGCCAAGACAGCAAAATGGAGCCAACGGAAGGAATAGTATCTACTTATGGATGCAAAATGAGAGGTTGGTAGAGCACAGGTGTACTCTCTTGATCTAGAACAATTACAGTAGTCTCACAGCCAGAATTTGGTTCCAGCTGCACTTAAAAAAGAAAAAGACTACAAAAGAAAAGACAATACACAGTTAGTTTAAAATCATCAGCGGAGAAGTCTGGGATAGGATGAGACTCTAACTGCTTTTTCCAACACTTTTCAAAGAGGAAAATGTGGGATTGTTATAGATATTTAAAATATGCCAAAATGATGACTGCTTGCTTCTTTACACATGACTCAAGTCCATATTTTTCTTTGGTTAACTTTTTTTGGCATTCCTTTCCCCTCCTATTGTGTCTCCTAGCATTTTTAATGAATAGATTCTTATTTTTAATTAACTATTTATTTATTTGAAAAATCAGAGCTGCAAGGGGAGAGGGAGAAAAGAGGTTTGGAAAAAGAGAGAGAAGGGGAGAAAGAAGAAGAGGAAGTGAAAGAGAGGAAAAAAGGGAGAGAGAAAAAGAGTTCTTTCACTCCACAAATGGTTGCAATGGTGGCTAAACTACCTGGAGCAGGGTCAGGCTAAAGCTAGGAATCTGGGTGCAGAAGCCCAAAAATTCAGGTCATCGTCTGTAATTTTTGCAGGCATATTAGCAGAAATTTGGACCGTAAGTGGAGCAGCCCAGACTTAAACTAGCACTCATATGGGATACCAGTGCCACAGGCAGGGGCTTTAACCACTATGCCACATCACTGGCTGCTATGCATAGATTCTTTGACAGGCCTGATTGGAAAGCTAAGGGGCTTGCCTGGCTGGTTTGCTCCCACTGGTGAGCATGAATGGAAGCAGAAATCTGGACTGGACATGACCGTAGTGTCACTTGGGATGGGTATGGACTGGATCTGGCGTGCATCAGAATGGGCTAGTTTGTAACATCCACTGGCAGACCCGAGAACCATAATGGGGTGCAGGACAGGCTGTGTCAGGCTGTGTCAGTCTGTGACACCAGCTAGTTCAGATTAGGGATGGGACTGGGAGCTTGCTGGGCTGGGCAGGGCTGTAGCATCCACCAGACTGGGCTGGACCAGGCTACAGCACCTGCCAGCAGTTGCCAAGGTGAGATTGGCCATGCCAGACTGGGCCACAGCACCCACCAACACACATGGACCCATGGCAGGTGGGGATGTGGTGGTTACAATCCTGGTATAGGGTGTATGGGGAGCTCCCCTGCCAGGCCACTGCTCCCATTGGCGAGCATGAGAATTGAGATGAGGGCAGACCAGGCCGGATATGGTCTGCTTGTGAGCTAGGTCAGGGGAGAACCAGCCTGGATAACCAGTTGTACCCACTGGTATGAATAAGTCAAAGCAGATGTAGGCTGGTTGGGCTTTACTGCAGCATCAACTGGCTGGGACTGGGGGTAAATCCTGTCGAACTAGACTGTACAACCACCTGGATAGTGCAAAATCTGGGACTAGCAGTGGGCCCGGTAGGAAACTGTGAGCATTTCTCTGATGGGTTGCAACTCACTGGTGAGCAAGAGAACCAGGGCTAGAGCAGGCCTGTATAGACAGGTGGTGGCACCCATTGGTAGGAATATAGGCTGGATAGTGGCATCAGTTGGGATGAACTAGGCTTCAATGCCCATTGATATGTATATGAGGTGATTAGGATGTGGGATAGACTGATTAAGTCTTCCATACAAATTAGCAAGCGCAAGAAGCAGGACTGGGGGTGGGCCTGGTGGGGTTATTACGGGTCACTCTGACCAAGCTAAAGCTCCCACTGGTGTATGTGAAGGGCGAGTATATGGTGGACAGGGTTGGGCTGGGTCACAGTATCCACTGGTTTATGGAAGACACAGGGCTGCAGATAGAGCTAATCCAGGAATAGAAACAAACTGATGTGGGGGGTTTGACAGAGTCACATCCCACACTGGTAAGCACACACCAGGGTCAGTTCTGGGATTACTTCAGACATGCTTTCTTTGGGGAGTCCCAAAACTGAACCATTAGACTCAGAACTTCAGCCATAGGGAGACTCACAGGATCTGTGGTCTGACCATGGAATGTATTTGTCAATGTGTTTGTCAGTGGCTAGAATGGAACAGTGGACAGCATACTCAGATGCACAAAGCAGTCCACTGGGGCCTGCAGAGGATAACTTGTACCATAACAGGAAGGAGGGCAGAACAAGTTGGTCAACTATCCCATCCAAATGTTGGCAGCAAGTACTGGGTGAATGGAGACTTAAGGTGGACGATGTCAGCCATTTGGCTTTGGAAGGATTTCTTCATCCTTGGATCGACAGTACTTCACAGCTATTGAACTTTTGAAACTTATTGCACAAACCCTCGGAGGATGTCCACACTGGAAACCCTGGAATGACATCAGGTGGCCGTTCCCCATCTCCAGGTAGTGAGGCAGTTGGGAGGCTGAATGTGGTTTCTTCCCTTATCTCTCTCTTTCTCCCACATGGGAAAAGAAGAAAAAAGAAAATGTGGAAACAGTGGTATCACCCACTTTGTTTTAATCCTAGACCTTTCCCACCCTAATTAACTACTTAAACATCATCAAAAAAAGTTTTAAATCAATCTTTTAATTATACTTATTTTTAAAGTACCATGCGATGTTTTCATACAAATCCATATCATGTAATTTTCAAATCAGTGTAAGCATCTCTATCTCCTCAAGCATTCACCATGTTTTTGTGGTGAAAATATTCAAAATCCTTTCCTTCATCTGCTTTTGCGATATACAATACATCATCATTACCCGTAGTCACCTGACTACACAGCCTAACATGAGAGCTTCTTGCTCCCATCTACAACCTAGTACACATTAGTCCATCTTTTTGTATTCCTGTCTACTTCCCTGCTTCTCTCAGCTTCTGAAGTCATTTTCTAATCTCTTGTTTTAAAATCTGAAACATTTATTTTAAACAATCAATTTTTGCCACCTAAGGAAATAATCCTAGTTTTAAGAAGTTAATCCTAGGCATAATGGCTAGTAATGGAGTGTCATTTCACCTTAAGCAGAATCTACTTTATCTTAACAGTAAGTGTAGCCTACTTGCTTCAGTAGCACATATGCTAACATTGGAATGATACGGAGAAGATCAGCATGGGCGCTGCACAAGGATGACACGCAAATTCATGAAGCATCCCATTCATTTTAAGACATGTAGGCTGTCTTCCCTGACAGTGTCTACTTCTAAGACAGAGTCCAGTCAAAAATACGGTTTAAGAGTAACACATAAATAAAATTGGATTTCAGAAAGAAAAAAGTAAATGTTTGATATGTGCTCAAAAATTAAACTCCTGTATTAATTTTTTTTCTGTATGCACTGGTTTTTTAGATTTGAATTCTAGTTTTATTTAGACTAGAGAAATGAGTTGAGTAGTTTTGTTTTGTTTTTCATGTATCTCTTAAGTTTCTTTCTGACATGGGTCCAATTTTTCTTTGAAATTGTGAAAAAATCTCGTCTGCAAACCATCTAGAATTGACATCAGTTGTACATATAGCTACTTTGATTTTTTTTTCAGAATCTAAGATTATTTGGTTATTTAAACTCTGCTTCAATTAATTTTTACTATACATTGCCTAAGCTTTTTAATATTTTTGTGAAGTTTAAAATTTGGTAGCAGAAATTTTTTCTTTAATATTTTCTTGTGGTTTATTTTGCAACTATTCTGTTGCTACACCTATAAAATTCTTATTTCCAATTTGTTTCCTTGTTTAAATTTCCTCGCATTTTTCTTGAAAGATTTTTTTTTAAGGATTTTAGAGTTTATTGGCTCCCTAATTTTGCTTTATTAACCAAGTCTACGTATTTTCTATTATATTATTTCTTACTTTTGTAGTTATTAAATTCCTCCTGTATTTTAATTTATTTTGTTTTTATAACCTAAATTGAAATGCTGATTGATATATTTTCAATATTTCTTTTTTCTTAATGCATATGTTGAAGGCTGTATATTTGATCTGAGTGACATTTTGGATTCTGCCAGCTTTAAATAAACAATGATCTCATTGCAATTCATTTTCAAGTGCTTTCTAATTTTCATTTCAACTCACCTTCAATCCAAGAAATATTTAGTAGCATATTGCTTTCTTTTCACATGCCTAAGACTTGGAGTTAGGAAATGAAAGGCATTATTCTCTTACTGGAAATTTTCAATTTATCCTGTAACTTTCAGAATAATAGCTTACATAATTTCAGCATTGAGAAAACTCTTGGGAGTTCTTTTAATACCTCATATTTGATCTAGTTTATAGAATGGTTTGAATATAAATTTATTTCTGGTGTGTTGGATATATATATATATGCTGATTAATTGCTATATTCAAATTCCTTTTATATTGCTTGAAGTAAATATGGCTTCTCTCAGTGTCAGATAAAGGTAAAACATTAAAATTCCATCATAATGGTGGGCTTCTCAAGATCCTTTGTGTAGATGTGAAGACTTTTACATTAAAAAATGATAATGTACAGTAATATTATTTTCTGAGGTCCAGAAAGACTTATTATGATATGTGTTGATCATTGAAACCTTGGATAAACACTCTATTATGTGTATGTGTGTGTATCGAGCCTCTTATGTTGCCAGCATTGCTGAAGTCCTTTGCCTCTTTCTTAGGGCAATGCAGATGTTATTATTATTATTCTTGATCCCATTTTTTCAGAGGAGACAGGTGGTGTAAGAAAGGAATACACACAGGTGTTCTCTGCTGTCAGGCAGTTGAGCTGGCCTGAACCACAGCCTGCTGCCTGGCTCCAGAGCCACACTGGTTCACTACCACATCATCTGTCTCACCAGTGCCATTCTTGGGTTTTTTTCCCTCTTGAATTTGATTTTGACATTTTCACCCACAGTGTTGCTTGACCATCACCTCTCATTCTTTGGGTTCAGCTATTTGTGCCAGTTTGTCTTATGATCAATGATTGTGAATATCATATACCAGTTTTCTTCAATGAGTTTGTTAGTCTTTTTTAATAATGGAAATAAACACACTTTTAGATATGGCTATTTGACATACTAATGTTATTTCTGTTTCTTCTTTACTATTTCTTATTGATATTGTCTTCTCTCTTTTTTTTTTGCTTATTTCCTATTATTCACTACTAATTTTCCCATGCCTCACATATCCTCTCCCCCAATGTTTTATCACATGAGTCTCTGAAAATCTTAAGAAAATTCTGCTTTCATTTCTCACTCTAGAACAGACAAGAAACTGAAAACATCAGCCAAAGTTCATATTTTGAAAATTCATTTCTAAATGTGCAAAGCTTTTTTATTTATATTTGAAAGCAAAAGAAAAAAGATTTACTTTCCAGTTGCCTGGAAAAGCTGGCACTTGGATCAGGCAGGATCTTGGAGCCTGGAACACAGATTAGGACTTTCATACGGGTGGTAGGTTTGCAAATTCTTGATCCATTACTTCCATCTTGAACTGCATTCTGATACAGGATGTAAGTGTCCTAACCCTAATCAAATTTCCTGCTCCCTTGTTCTTGATTTTTCTTTTTCTTTTTGTAGTTGATAGCAGTATAGGTTATGGTACAAGTGTTTGGAATGAAAAAAGAAAATATGTAGTTATAGTATATTTTCAAAAAAATGATTTAAAACAAGTCAATATTTCCCATTGATTTCAAAATGCAGAACGTCTCTTTTGAGTAAAGGTGTTTTATTTAAAGCACATTGTCATACAAAAGCTCTCCAGAGATCATCATATGGGGTACATATTGCATATGGTTAGGAACTATGCAATGTCACTAAGTACAGTTTTCAGATAATACAGGTAAGTATGTGTTTGGCTTAAAGTGATTAAAAAAGAGAGGCAGATCAAGATATAATTTTAGGGAGAAAGTTACAAGGTGGAGTCTTAGACATCAAAAAGTTGGCAAATGATATTAGGAAGCGGGATTGACCTATTTTAACATGGGGATGCTTCCTTTAGGTAATATTTTTTCAGAGGTACTGGCTTCTTTGAGATCAAAGGCAATATTTTCCACCAAGAAGAATTTAGAATAATCCTATTTGTGATGGAATAAAAGAAACATGCCAATTTGATTTCATGAGCAAAACTTAATAAGGCCGTAGATTTACTGGGGATCCTGGGATATAGATTCTTTTTACAGTAAATATGCTTATTCATTAGGTAGTGTGCTCATGACCTTGGAAAAGAAGCAATAATCTGTCAGTAGATGCAAATTTCTGGAAGTACATAGACTAGGACAGAATGCTGGTGACGTCTTTGTCCAGAACTATGCAATGAAGTCAAAATTAACAAGATGTATATATGTGAAGCTGAAATGACTTTAGAAATGGAGAAAATGGAACAATGTCTTGTGTGTTATGGAAATTACTCCAAACATCATAAGGATATGAATGGAGACTAATATAAGAGGAGGAGGATTCAGGTCATGTATGAACATTTTTAAGTGGAGATTTTCCTTAGGTAAAATATGAAAGCTAGAAAGTGGGTGCATCTATTTGAATATGGAGGAAGTAAAAGATGTGTAATCAGGGTTCGATCGTTGAAATGCTTGTACTCTAGACCTCAGTTAAAACTATTTCCAGTGTTGCTACTCTGAGTGAAGATGCGAGTTCTGTTTGGGAAGGTACACTTAGTTAGCACTGCAATGATATAATTAGAGAAAGAAGCTTTGGGGTTGAGAAGAATCATAAGATTGTTACTGGAGTTACCATGGTCATGATTGTCTGGCTGCAGTAATTACAGTAGAATAGACAAAAACAGTGAGTTGTAATAATGGACAGATGTGATCAATGTTGCTGGTTAGTATCACTGTCGCTAAAACGTTAGAAATCCAAATACTTACTCGAGTAAGTAATGTGAATGGAAAAAACATACCACTAGAAATACGTTTAACAACTAAGTGTAGACAGGTGACACAATGAGGAAGGGCTTCCTTGGGATTGTTAACATCTAAATATTTGGTATTTGGTGCAATAGATAAACCTTGTAAAATGCCAGGTTTTTCAAGATCAAGTTCTACCCTCCATTCCAGCTTCCTACTAATGCTTAGTCTGAGAGGCAGCGGCTGTGGGCCCCTGCTACCCACACAGAAAACTCAAGACCGAGCTTTTAACTGTTGTCTTCAGCCTGGTCCAGCCCTGGCTGTTTCAGTCATTTGAGGAGTGATCCAGGGGATGGGAGATCCCTGCCTATGTCTTCCTATTTCTCTGCTTTTTAAATTTAGTTAGATAGATGATAAATATAAATGTTTTAAAATAACTTATAGCATTACTTCCTAAGGGTTGAAATGGTTTAGCAATAGCCAAGTTACATCTCTAATCAAAGTGAAGTATGACATCACTTCCAGTTCCATCTGTTATCTCCTTCAACACATGATAATTTTCAGACTCATCATCTCATTGCTGTATTCTGTACTTTAATTGATTGAGGCAATTTATCCTTAAGGAGGCCAAAGGACTCCAATTATGTGAATATTAATGGCTAGACTGGCCTGCTAAATTATTTTTTGCCAAATTACCTTTGGATTTTAATAACCATTAGCAGTAAAGACAAAGGTCAGACAGTGTGCAGATATGTAGTTTTCTGTGACCTCCTGGAGAATAAGAATTAAATATATGGAAGAAAACTAGCACATGTGATGAGAACATATTGTTTCACAAAAAAAGAAGGTCATCTTGCCCATATAAGTTTCAAAACAAACTTTTTAGCTAAAGTATCATTAGCTCCGGATAGCTGAGAAGCAGAGTACAAAGAACTGTTCAAATATCTAATTGGCATATTTTCCCTAAAAAATAAATAATAAAGCTGGGCCCAGTGCGGTAGCCTAGTGGTTAAAGTCCTCATCTTGCATGTGCCAGCATCCCATATGGGTGCCGGTTCTAATCCCAGTGACACTGCTTCCCACCCAGCTCCCTACTCATGACCTTGGAATGCAGTGAAGGATGGCCCAAGGTCATGGGACCTTGCATCCGTGTGGGAGACCCAGAAGAGGCTCCAGACTTCTGGTTTCAAATTGGAGCAGCACCGGCCATTGCAACCACTTGGGGAGTGAATCAATGGATGGAAGACTTTCTCTTTTTCTCCTTCACTCTGTACATCTGACTTTCTGATAAAAATAAAGTAAATCTTTAAAAAAATAATAGAGTAACTTGGAAGTACAATTTCAAATTACAG